CCTCTTAATTAAATCATTTATAACACTCTGGCCCTCCGCGCCTTATATTATCAACTAGTTCACAACCGTTGGGATACGTTATATCGTCTATTATCCGGCCGGATTGCATCGTATCCCACAAAGTTACGTGACTACAAGCTTTGGCCGACCTTTCGGACGGCTGGCGATTACGCGCAAAGCCCCGCAGTGGCCTGGCATCAATCCATCTAGTCATTGGCTCTCAAGGCCAACACACAAGCATCGCAGTGCGGTGACTCTCGTCAGGTCGGCACTTCGGACCTAGCACGCTTTCAGCTGGACGTGCGGTCCAACAGTCAACTCTACTCCTACCTTTTCTCCATTCCTTCCGTACAGAATATACGGTTCCTACCACTCTGGCCTTTCCACGACTTCTATTCTCCTAAGGAACCGGGCCTGAGAGATCCTAGTGACAAGGGTTGGCTGCCACGATTAAAAAACTTCCTCTGTCGCCTGCGCCTTTTCAGCAGTTTGTTCGGCGGGACTGTCTTTAGAGGTCCTTTTGCCTTTGACTTATAAAACTAACGTACTTTTAGGTTTCCAATAACCCGGCTTTCCCTTTTTCGTTAAATTCCGCCAATGTAACGTTGAATTTCCCTCAACAGGCATCAGTATCCTGAGCAATTGGGGTTTATGTCGATGGATTTGATTCAATTTAGTACATTGAAACAAATCTAACAATCTTTAATTTGATATTGTTTGATCACTTCCACCACAATTAAATATTTATTTATACTCAGTAACCAAGCGTTAGGTGTTTGAGTACAAAATACGTTAAACAGTTGGGTGGGGGAATAAATATTTAGACAGTGTTGCCGTTCGTTCTGTTGTATATGCAGAAAACTATAAAAGTTTGCTAAACATTGGCATATAGCAAGGAGAACAAGGACGAATGGAACCCCTATTTCAGTAATCCGCGTGTCCTGGCGGCGGAGAGAGGGGGGTTGACTTCAGTAAGAGTAAAACTCTGATGCCGGTGATCGACGCACCCTTTCCTTCTCTATCTATACACATGCCTGGGATGCGCAAATTTGCCTAAATTCGTAAGGTAGTCAGTCACGTGAACGGTCGGAATATCGTAAAAGACAAAAGGGCCAGCTTGCACTAGTGCAAATAAATGCGTACTTCAAGCAATAATTTGGATGATGACGTTTCTGAGACATGTATTTAAGACTATCCGATTTTTCGCATGACCTTCCTACTTTGGAAAGTACAACTGCCGAAGGCTAGAAATATGGGAGGGGAGCTCAGGAAGTATTCACTTTTTGATAGCCTGTGGATGAAAAAACGGCAAGGGTAGACGTTTTTATCAGTCCTAGGCCTTGGGCAAAAAACTCTGAACTACTGTCTGTCTGTCTGGCTAGGTTTCCATAACATATGTTCCCTTTCTAACCGACTAGACTGATTAATAACCTAGTAAAACACACATCCTAATTAGTGTCGGAATTCATTTTTAAAGGGTTGTTTTACACTCGGGCAACACCTTTTAGAATGAAACTTAAAGGGCGATTTATAAAAAGCAGGCGACTGATTATTAAATCCTTCGAGAGTCTATATACCGGACCGTTCGAAAGCAGCTTTCCACGTTATGCATCTACCCTTTATTCTACTCTGATTTCACTCCGAATAAGAAGAGAGTTTGTTGGTATGTTAAAGAAACACGACAGTGTTCCGGTCTGTGTTTGTCATGGCATTAAAGCATCTACTGACTGCCTTCCAAACGTCTCCGAAAAATATCTAGAACATGCTGTGACGCCTCTGTCATGTTTATCTGGTATGAAATCAAATACTTTATCATTCTAATAAAACATTACATATTCATGTATTCAAAGAGGCTATTTGAAATTTCTATTTTCGTAGCTCCGAATTTTCCGGTCCGAATAACTCCAAAGTAGGGTTCAATCTAGCACTGAAGATAGAAAACAATATGTTTGGCTGTCAAAATAAAATAACTTGTTGGACGTTTTCTATGGCGTCATAGGCGTATAAATTGAAATTCATCTATGTTCTACATGTTCACTATATTGCGCCTCCACTTTCGCGGCTTCGCTTTATCTCAGATTTTATAATATATATTGTTTAACTGTGTAAGTAAGTGAAACAAGTGCATTACTGTATATTGAAGTAAATATTACATAATGTTCGTTAAAATATATATTATTAAAATGTGGCGGAAAAACTTTTACTCATTAACTAAGGTTCCCCAATGTTATACGATAAGTATACTTGTACGTAGTATATACGCAGTGTGTTTACTTATCTAATTTCAACAAACCTTACCTAATATTTAAAAGAAGAGGAAGGGTTTGTGCTGCATAACTGTATGCTAAATGTCTATAAGAAAATGAGGCTTTCCAAGGCTCTCCCTTGTCTTTGTCGGATCCACTTCAATAGATTCTACCAGTCGCTATGCGACTACATGTGAGTGCTCTAAAGTGAGCTCCAGCACAAAAACGGAATTTACAGTAGATTGCATATCTGATAAAAGGTTGGAGGTTGGGGGACTTAACAAACATTTGAGGTTAATAATTTAGTTCATTGGGTTGACGTGAGGCGCAAAATGATGTTTAATAGAATTTACCTCCGTTCAGATCAGTATTCTGGGAGAAAATGTACGCGAAAATGAGTGAAATTCAGCGTTTGTTGATAACCGAGAAATTTCCTATGCTATAAGACGCTGCGGAAAAGAACTTCTTGTTAGTGCATGTTGCACTATAAAAGAAC